TGGTCACATAAATACAACCTATAGTCACTGAAGTCACATTGAGGTACTAATTATCACACACTTCTCATACAAAGAGATACACAAAGCAGAATCCCTAATAGAAGAGTATGTGCCCTAGTCCCTGACAGGCCCCCACAACATCATATAATACAGATAGCCTGGGGCCTCCCTGTTGGCACAAGGGATTAAGCACCTTGAAGCTATCCACAGCCCCTGCAGCAGGAGTTCAATCCCTGGCCAGAAAGCTACCCACATGGCACAGCAGACCTCTCCTGTCTCGCCCACTGCTCCCCTCAGCACTGTATTTCAGCCTGTTCTGTTCCCCACTCTGTCTCTAGTAGATCCTCCCACCCCCAGCACCTCTGGCCTGTACCCCAGTTCTTGTATGCATAAATAAGTAAATCCTTAAAAAAAATACAGATAGCCTGTGCCACATATTCACATGGTCCCCATGACACATGGAAACAGGTGAATGCAGACATACAGACCTTTGCACACAAATTCACAGCACCACCATCTCACATGTACATGAATGTGAGCACACTTCACTTGGACTCAGACAAAAACGCCAGGAGGAGGACATGATGGGAGTTCCTGGCCAGATGTCAGTGTCACAAAGGGGACCTGTCAGGATCCCTTGTGGTAGGGGGCATGATGTTCACCCCACAGCTCTGGTCACTCTAGAGAGGAGGGGCACCATCATCAGACCGTGTGAACCCAGGGTCTCCATCCTAACCCTCATGACTAGGTTTCTGCCCAGATGTAAAGGCTGGATGGAGGGGGCAGGCGGGGGTCCAGCTATGGCCACAGGGAGGGACTGAGTCACCCACTTCCCAGCAGTCCAACCCAGGCTGGGCCCAGCTGTTCCTGGAAATAGACAAGAGGGGGTGGGGTCCCCAAACCAGCTGGGGGCTATTGGCCCAGACCTGCACTATCCATCTTTATAGATGGAACCTTCAGACAATACCCCAAACTTTGGAGCTCCCGCCACTGAAAATGGGGGTTTGCATCCTTCCCTCAGGGTTCCTGCTCCAAAATGAGGGTTTCTAGCTCCTTTCATTGAATTGAAGGTGCCTAGTTACCCCAGCAGTCAGACTGACTGCATCTCATCCCATAATAGGGATTGATTGATCTTTCCTACCAACATGGGAGGTCCTTTCCTCCCCAAACATGAATCCCTGCCACCCCAATGGAAGGTTGCAGCTCCTCCCCCAAATTGAGGATCTGGACTTTTTCTTATATCTGGGGACTTGGAGGGGGGACTCCCTGGTGGCACAAGGGGTAAAGACACAGCACTATGAAGCTATCTGCAGCCACTGCAGCACGAGTTCAATCCCCAGCCAGGGAGCTACCCACATGGCGCAGCAGACCTCTCCTATCTCACTCCCTGCTCCTCTCAGCAGTGTATTTCAGTCAATCTGCCTGTTCTGCTTCCCATTCTGTCTCCTGTGAATTCTCTCATCCCCCCCCTGCACCTCTGGCCTGTACTCCAGCTCTTGTATGCATAAATAAATCTTAAAAAAAAAAAAATCCAGGGATTTGGATCCCTGAATATCTAGAATACCTATAACACGTCAACATTACAATTCAAACGTATTCCACAGATTCCTCCTAAACATCAAGGTCCCTTTTAGGTTTTGCAAATATAGGGAGCCCACCCCTATATATGTGGGTCTCAGAATGTCCCCCCAAACACCCTCTGACAAATATTTCCAGTCCCCCCCTCCTGTCGTTGTAACTAACATCCATACTTCTCTCACCTTCTACTTGGGGATCAGAGCGACCCCATTTCCCCCAATGAGCGCTGGATCAGGGAGCTTACAGCAGTTTTTCTCACGCCCGGAAGGCAGCCCAGTCCGGAAGCCGGCACTGCAGGCTCCAGTCCCTTCCTCCCTACTCTCCCAGTCCTTCCCTCCCCCAGGGTTGGAGTTTGAAAACAACTCGGGAAGGGGATGTAGAGGTTTGGACAAGCCTCCTAGCACCCCCCTCCCCAGCTTGCGTGCAGCTGAGAGTCTTAGTGGGCTGTAACCGGCTGTCCAGTGGTAGAGTGACTGTGTTCGATGTGGCTCGAGGGCTGCAGCCATCCTGCCCAACCCGCTTCGGGACTGAGGCTTTGGAGGAAGATTCTTGGGTTGGAGGGAGCAGTGTTCCTCTTCTCAAACTTAGAACCCTCCCCAACCCCTCCCCCCACCAGCATAAGCCGCCCCGCCCTCTGGGTACAACTAATAACCTCTTATTACCACTCATTACCTCGCCCGCCCCGCGGGAGAGGGGCGGCTAGGGGACTCACGTGTCAAAGCGCGCCGGTCGCGGTTTCACCCCCTACCCTTAAAGCTGGCTCCACCCAGAACCTCTTTTTCTTAGCCTACGAACGTGAATTAAAACAGCACTTGCCAACAAGAGTCGACTTCAACTGCGGATATCTTTAAATTGCTTAGCACTGGGACTTCATACTTTAAATATTCAATAAATGGTGACTGCAATGTTGTTAACTGCCATTGTCATTAAAATAAGCCCTCCTCGCGTCGGGTAGGGATCTTGGAATGGACACACCCACTCGTACCTGCACTGGCCAGTTCCTGGGTCTGCGCGCCCCCTGGTGGACCGCGGGCCAGTGTGGCTTGGTCCTGAGTTCTGAGGCTGGAGCACCCTCGTGATGGGTCTCTGGGAGGGGAAGGAGTTCTGCAGTTCAGTGAACTGACCTGTTAGGTAAATGTATTTTTCCGTCACCTAGGACATGTGTCTTCTTGGCCCCTCAAGTTAGGACCGTGTCCCCTTATATACACCTGGTGTGAGATCCCCAAGTCGCCTCCTTTGGTAAGACCCCTTTAGGATCCTCCTCAGTCAAGTCCATAGAAAGTGTTAAGGCCTACCTCTCCCCTGTGCAGTTAAAAGCTCCCAGCAGGCCTCCCCAGTGGCGCAGCAGGTTGAGCGCAGTGCAGTGAAGCTGTCCACAGCCTCTGCACCGGGGGATTCGATACCCAGCCAACCAGGAAGATCCCCACATGGCGCGGCAGACCTCTCCTGTCTCTCCCGCTGCTCCCCTCAGCAGTGTCTTCGGTCCGTCCGCCTGTTCTGATCCCTGCTCTGTCTCTGGTGAATTCTCTCACCCACCCACGCCTCTGGCCTGCACCCCCTACTGTGTAAATAAATAAATCTTAAAAAAAAAAAAGCAAGCTTCCCTGGTGGTGCAGGCGGTTGAGCGCCGCACTGTGAAGCTGTCCACAGCCTCTGCAGCGTGGGTTCCATCCCGGCAGGTTGGCGAGAATCCTACATAGCGCAGCAGACCGCTCCTGTCTCACCTGCTGCTCCCCTCAACAGTGTATTTCTTCAGTCTGCCTGTTCTGTTCCCCGCTCTGTCTCTGGTGAATCCTCTCACCCTCCCGTGCATCTGGCCTGTACCCCAGTTCTTGTATAAAAATAAATAAATCTTAAAAAAAAAAACACAAAACTCCGAGCAGAGCCTCCCTGATGGCGCAAGGGGTTAAGTCGCAGCACTATGAAGCTGTCCGCAGTCTCTGCAGCAGAGATCGATGTCAGGCCATGGAGCTAACCCACATGGCGCAGAAGACCTCTCCTGTCTTGCCCGCTGCTCCCCTCAGCAGTGTATTTCAGTCAATCTGCCTGTTCTTTTTTTTTTTTTTTAAAAAAGATTTATTTATTTATGCATACAAGACTTGGAGTGCAGGCCAGAGGTACAGGGGTGAGAAGATGACCAGAGACAGAGTGGGGAGCAGAACAGGCAGACTGACTGAAATACACTGCTGAGGGTGTAACAGGGTGGTCCCCAGGAAAGGGGGAGTTTCCAGGTTTCCTGCCCCACCCAAGAGAGGGTGGAGCTGAGCAGGAAGAGAAGAAGCTGCAGAGGAGACTAAGGAAGGAAGGAAGCAGGATGGAGAGTCAGAAGGAAACCTTGAGGAGGCACATGGAGCAGAGAGACACATGAAGAAACTGCACTTGCTTTTTGGTCGTGGACTGGGTGACAGAGATGTAGGTGAGAGACCCGTGGGGAGGTGACAATGGCGGTTTTTGTCTTGATTTTGATTTTGCTCTTTTCCCTCCAGACTTGTCTGGTTGTTTCTGATCCTTTTCTGTGGGTCCCCACTCTAAGATGCTTTAGACTGTGGCAGGCTTTGGGGCCTGGCTCTGGGCCAATCCCATTTGGATGGAGTTTTACCCACAAGGGGCAGGTAACTTTGGGTGCTTGATTTAAAAACTAGATTCTTTGCCTTTCCTGTATTGTTTCCTAATTGTATTAAATTTCCTTCCAATTAAAGTCTCATATGTTTTGTGTTGATGTGCCTTTGGCAGAACCCATTTAGAGTAGGCAGGTTTGCGGGGTCTGGGCTGTCCCTCTCCCTGCCCTGTAACAAGGGGAGCAGAGGGCGAGTCAGAAGAGGTCTGCTGCCCCATGTGGGTTGCTCCCTGGCCGGGGATCGAACTGGTGCTGCAGTGGCTGTGGATAGCTTCATAGGTTGCGTCTTAACCCCTTGCACCACCAGGGAGGCCCCACAATCTGCCTGTTCTATTCCCCACTCTGTCTCTGGTGAATCCTCTCACACATACACCCCCCTACCCCCCGAACCTCTGGCCTACACCTCAGTTCTTGTATGCATAAATAAATACTTTTTAAAAAATAAAAAAATTTTAAAAACCCCTCTGATCATAAGGTGGTTAGAAAGAATTTCTCTAAGCACGATGATAAGGGACACAAAAGGGTGGGGGCAGCTCCGTCTCAGATCTCAAAAGAGGAGTGATTGTGAGGTCTCTGCTAACCCAGAAAGAGCAGGGGTAATCAAATAAGTGGTAGGGCCACCCTTGATATGCACAAGGCTAGCCCGGACTGACCTCTAGTGGCAGGGCGGGCGCCCAAATGCTGCCCGAATCCAAGATGGAGGTACTGGGGGCCTGAGCGGGCTCTGGGAGATCACGTGTCTGGGGCGGGGCCTGCGCCTAGGGGGCGGAACGGGGCGGCGCTCTAGGCTGAAAGGGAGGTCCCGGCTGCGGGTGCTCGCTGGTGGCAGATCTGGAGGCGGCTGCGTTGGTGGGGCACCGCGGTCGGGTTGAATTCGGTTGGGAGCCATGAGCGTGGACAAAGCCGAGCTATGCGGGTCTCTGCTCACCTGGGTAGGTCGGGGGGCGGGGCCAGGGACAGGTGTGCGCCCTCTCTTCCTGCCAGGAATCCCGGCCCTGGCTTGGTCCATCCCACGGTCCTAGGGCTGGGAGGTGGAAGGGGTCGTCGGCCAACGGGGCTGTTGGACTCTGGCCTGAGCACCCGCCCCCGTCACGTGGCAGGTCTGTAAGGAAAGAACAGATGAGGCCCCGCCCCCCGCAGCTGGGTCATGTGGGGCGTAGGTACAGGTGAGCTGACTTGGTCACGTGGTGCCTGTGGGGCCCGGGTGACTTGTGGTTCCGCCCTATCCTGGTCTTGCGGGGTTTGTTGAGCAGAGGTGAGGTGAGACCACGCCTCCTCTGGTCCCAGGTGAGCAGAAGCAAGGCCCCTGCAATTCTGGTACTCTGGAGCCCATAACCAACCATATGAGGTTTCTGGAGACCACGAAATCCTGCAAAAGGGGAGCAGGTCAGTGCTTCCCAGCCTTCACTGTGTTTCCCTCTCTTACCCAGTTCCAGACCTTCCAAGTCCCGCCCCCCTGTGCCAGCTCCCAGGACCTGAGCAGTGGCCTTGCAGTGGCCTATGTGCTGAACCAAATGTGAGTGGGGCTGTGGGGGAGGGGCCCCAAAGGGTTCCCCAGTAACTCATCCCACCTTCTCACCCCCAGAGACCCTTCTTGGTTCAACGAAACATGGCTCCAGGGCTTCTCAGAAAACCCAGACTCCAACTGGAGGCTAAAGGTGACAGATGGACTCATAACTGGGGGGCAGACTGTTGAAAAGATGACCAGGGGAGCATCAGCTAGTCATGTCCTGGGTGATGGACAGGCAGACCTACCCAGGATGGGGGCAAGTCTGGTGACCAAACATTTGCTCTTTCATTCATTTATGGAGCAGGTCTGGGCCTGCAGCTCCTAGCCAACTTGCCCTCACACAGTCAATAAATATTCTGATAATGCTTACAAACACATAAACATTAGCAACAATATAAAAACAGTGAAAACAGGACTCCAAGAAAAAGCAGCTAGGCTCTTTGGGTGGTTACTTGAGATGGACTGATCTTCTTGCAAGATTTGGAGGAACAGTATTCTAGGTATTGGGAACAGCAAATAAAAAGTCCCTGAGGTGGGGATAAGCTTCGTATGATCCCGGAATGGCAGGAAGTTTTCAGAACAGAAAGCCAGGGGGTAGAAATGAGGTCATCAGGGCCTGGCAGGCCTGGCTAGGGCTGTGGATTCTATTTTTAAGTGCTGTGCAAATTCAAGGAAGGGTTTTAGCAGAGGAAAGATACAACCTGTCTAGGGCTTTAAAAAGCTCCCTGTGGCTACTCTGAGAGAAATGGATTGTAGGCAGCAAAAGTGGAAACTGATAATGGGCTGGCACAATAATCTAAGTGAGAGATGATGGTGGCTAGGGCAAATAGTTAGCAGGACAGATTGTGAGATATTATTGGATTCTGGGGACAGAGGAACAAAGATGGGCAAGTAGATAAGAAGGGCAGGCAGCCACACAGGTCACCCCTAGGAGAGAGGACATTTAGACTGACAGTGGGATCACACAAGAGGATGTGATCAGGGATTGGAAGGGGAGGCAGGAAAAAAAAGGATCGATTAGACAGATTCAGGGTGGGGAGTGCTTGGTCTCTTTCTTGGGTATTCTGGGCCCTGAACACAATTCTTTGCATCTCCCCAGGTCAGCAATCTGAAGACAATCTTACAGAGCCTGGTGGAGTACTATCAGGATGTGAGTAACTAAAGGGATTTAGGTGGTTGGGTTGAGGGAGTCCCTGACACACACCTATGAGTCCCTGACACACACCTCCTCCCATATCCTCAGGTCCTGGGGCATCCTATTTCTGAGCAGCACCTCCCAGATGTGAGCCTCATCGGCGAGTTCTCAGAACCAGAAGAGCTCGGCAAGCTTCTCCAGCTGGTGCTGGGCTGTGCCATCAGTTGCGAGAAAAAGCAGGGTATGGAATGTTAGGAGGTTCCCAGGGGCAAACTATCCTCCCTCCCTTCACTTCTCAGTCTCCCCCACCTTGGTCCCCAGAGCACATCCAGAGAATCATGACGCTGGAGGAATCAGTTCAGCATGTGGTAATGGAAGTCATCCAGGAGGTAGGTGGGGGTGCCCAGTGTGGCAAAGAGCTTTGGGGGAGGAGATGTCTCCAAGACAGAGGGAACTGGACAGAGGCTGGGCTCTGCCTGGAAGTCAGCTGGCCATATTTCCTTGTCTCGTGTCTGGCAGCTCCTTTGGGCTCAAAGTCACAATCTAGCAGCCTCAAAGGACCCAGCCCCTGTGTGTGTTGGGGAATGCATGGCAGGAGGGCATCCTCTGGACTGGGGTGCTTTGGGAGACCTGGCTTTAATGACAGGTGAATGAGGGGTTTTTCAAGCTTATGAGATGATTGAAGCCTTGAAGTCTGCCCTCAGAGATACCAATTCATCTCAGTGTACCCGCCAATATCTCTCTCCAGCTCATAACCAAAGACACCCCTGACTCCCTATCAACGGAGACATATGGGAACTTTGACAGTCAGGTAAATGGTGCGGAACCTGGTTCAAGATCCTCACCCCATTATTATTGGGGCTGCCTAAGGAGTAGGCACTTGTCTTAAACCTATAAAACCCCCACTATGCCTAACCCTCCTACCCCCGCTATCCCTCAGGGTCCTAGTCTTTTCCCTTGCCAGGTTGTTAGACACCCATATTGCCTAAGAAAGTCCCCTGGGACTCTGTCTCTGGTGAATCCTCTCATCTCCCCCCTACCCCCGCACCTCTGGCCTGCATCCCAGTTCTTATATGCATTAAAAAAAAGTCCCCTGGGGTCCCAGCCCTCTCTTCTTCAGATCCTGAGGGTTTCTTGGCCCCCTCTCTGTCCCTAGAAATCCCAGCTTCCTTTCTCCAAGTCTTCTCCCCAGATTCTTGAATTCCTTGCCCCCCATTCCCTACCCTCCTCAGTCCCGCAGGTACTACTTCCTAAGCGAGGAGGCTGATGAGGGGGATGAGCTGCAGCAGCGCTGTCTGGATTTGGAGCGGCAGGTGGGGTGAGGTGGGGGATCACAGATGCTCTTGGGGCAGGGTTGCCTATAGAACACCCCCCCCCACACACACACACCAAGCTCCTGTTCATCTGCATGCCTTGCCTGCAGCTGGTGCTCCTGTCTGAAGAAAAGCAGATCCTGGCACAGGAGAATGCAGCACTGAGAAAGAGTGTGGGCCGGCCTGAGGGTGAGGGTGCCACAGGTCTCACGGCCAAGAAGCTACTGCTGCTGCAGTCCCAGCTGGAGCAGCTGCAGGAGGAGAACTTCAGGTGTGATCAGTGGGGATTTGGCCAGGCAGGCCAGAGGATTAGTGAGGTGTGGCTTCCTTCATGTGCCCTTTACCCTGCGTCCCTCAGGCTAGAGAGTGGCAGGGAGGATGAGCGGCTGCACTGTGCAGAATTAGAGCGGGAGGTCACTGAGCTGCAGCAGCGGAACCAGGCGCTGACCAGTCTGGCCCAGGAGGCTCAGACCTTGAAGGATGAGATGGATGAGCTTCGGTGAGTGGTGGGACCTCAGTCCTGATGCATAATCCATTGTCAGAGTGCCTGTTTGATGCCACAGTACCTCTTTAACTCCACAATGCCCAGGTGAGCCCCACAGTTTGTTCTCAACCCCACTGTCCTGGACTCTACCATGGCCCCTGATCCTTAGTGCCCGCCCCCGTCATGATCCCACAGTGTCCCTTGTTATCCCACATTGTATCCCCTAGACCTAACAGCATCCATATCAGCAAGCCTGGGAGGCTTCCCATGCCTCCCCTGTATCATTCTGGGTCTCATCATGCCCCAGGATCCCATAGTAGCTTCTAGGACCCCACAATACAATAACCTTTTAGCCTCCTATATCCCCATTGTGCCACCCTAACACAACTGTACCTTCTCACAACTCCATAGCATCCCTGTACCCCAGCATGCTTGATGGACCCCCATAGTCCTCATCCCTTCAACTGCACTGTACCTTCTGTATTCCTGAAGGGCTCCCTGTTTGGTCTCATGGTTACTTTGTAATGTTCAACTTGCTAGTGAACCCCTACTGTATCTTTAAGAACCCCATTGTGCCCTGGCTCCAAAGCCCCTCCTCTCAATGGCCCCTGCAACCACGGTGCCCTTTGTTCCCACAATTTCCTGACCCTAAAATGCCCATGGGGGCACTCCTCAGATTATCTTGATCCCTGTCATTTCCCCTGTAGTTCACATTCTGTGTTCCCACAATGTGAGGATTCCTAATTATGAACCTGGGTTGATCATTTGATGCTTAGGCCTCCCTTTTTATTCTCTCATGACCCCCAACTGCACCAGGCTGAGTCTCACCCCGACCCTCATGACCTCTTACCTAGAACCCAAAAAGACTGATACATTTCCTTGGCGTGAGGGCCTCACATCTAAACTAAACCCTGATCCCAGACCCAAACTGTCTTCCTCCTCTTCCCCCCTTCCCAGACAATCCTCTGAGCGTGCAGGGCAGCTGGAGGCCACCCTTAGCAGCTGCCGCAGCAGGCTGGGAGAGCTGAGGGAGCTGCGGCGGCAGGTGCGGCAACTGGAGGAGTGCAACGTGGGCCACGCAGAGCGCACGAGGCAGTTGGAGGATGAGTTGCGCAGGGCCAGCTCTTTGCGTGCCCAGCTCGAGGCACAGCGGAGGCAGGTGCGGAGGGGGCCCTGGGCTGGGGCCTAGGCCTGGAAGTGGGGCATGGGTCAGGTGAAATCTGCAGACCTAGGTGGTCCGGGCTGCAGGCAGCTCACTGTGTGGCCTCCGCCATCATGCTTTCCTGGCTCCGGTATGAGGTGACCTGAGTCCTGCCCAAGCTCTCTCCCTCATTAACCATAGACCATGCCCTTTAGGCCTTGTCAGTTCTCCCTGACCAGCTCTGTTTGGTTTGTAAGCCACACCTACCACTTAAGCCCTGCCCATCTATTTTCATTCCAGCAGTGCCCCTTCTCTTACCATTCCTGCAGTCCTCACCCATCCTTTCTCTTCAGGTTCAGGAACTGCAAGTGCAGCGCCAGGAAGAGGCGATGAAGGCAGAGAAATGGCTATTTGAGTGCCAAAATCTGGAGGAAAAGTATGAATTGGTGACAAAGGAGAAAGAGGTGAGGTTGAGATCCCACCACCCAAGCCCTGTCCTGCCCATCATGGGCTAGCCCAATCCCCAGGAGGCCAGTCTTGCTTCAAGTGGCTTCATGCACCCCTTTCCTCCAGCGGCTGTTGGCAGAGCGGGACTCCCTGCGGGAGGCCAACGAGGAGCTGCGCTGTGCCCAGCTGCAGCCACAGGGACTGACCCAGGCTGGTGAGTTGAAGCATAGAACTAGATCTGGAGGAAGACAGCCCTAGGGCGCTGTTAGGGCAAACAGAAAAAGCAGTGTCCCAGGGCTTGTCTAGGCTGAGGGATCACGCTGGAGGGAGACTGGGTAGAAAGGAAAGAGGCAATGTGGGCCGACAGAAGGCAATGCCTGTCTTTCAGGCTCAGGGTGGCAAAGGCAAACTTAGGCCAAGCATCACAGTCCCTGTCAAGCCTGGGGTGCACTCTCTCCAGTCAGATTTTTGACTCAACTGGAGCCTCCAAGGTGATTCTTAGAAAGAAAACCCTAGGAAAGGGAGCATGGACTGTGCATCAAGCTGAAGATTTCTTGCTTTCTCAAGATCTATCATTAGATCCCACCTCACTGGACACTGAAAACTTAGCAGCGGAAATCTTTCCTGCGGAGCTCAGGTATCCTGGGTCACTCAGACTCTTGCCAACCCTGGCCTGCCAGTGCCCACCCTCAGTCCTGCCCTCAGACCTGCATGCAATTCCCAGGTCCAAATCCCAGCCTGCTTCTTTGGCACAGCCACTCTTAAACTGCCCTAAATTGGACCCAGCCTCTGGCCCTACTTTGGCTCTGGCTCCATACTCAGTTCACAAATTAGGGCCAGTGCATCTGCCTCCTCCCCCAACACCCCCCAAGCAAAAAGTCTATGCCCAGCTCCACCAACATAGGGCTGTGACCACAAAGCACATCCTTGTCCCCACTGTAGCCTCTGTTAGGTTCAGGGACCAGTGACCTGTCTAGAGGTCCCACCTCAGCGCTCCCTGTAGGTGCATCTTTTCCTGTATCCCCAACCCCAGCATGCCAATCCTCTCTTTGGCCCCGCCCTTACGCATAGCCCCACCCACTCTGCCCCCCACCTCTAGAACTCTGCCCACCCACTCTTACTTCGAGTCCCAAGCAATATAATCCTACCCCAGGACTTTCCCCCAGAGTTCTGTCCCTCTCCTGGCCTCTTCCACCTTCACTGGCCTGATCCTGGGCAAGCTTGCAGAGGGTGACTGTCCCCAGTCCTGCACACTCCTTCCTCTGCAGGGAGACACTTCTGAAGCTTCAGCTGGAGAACAAGCGACTATGCCAACAGGAGGCAGCTGATCGCGACCGACAGGAGGAGCTACAGCGCCATCTGGAGGAGGCCAACCGGGAGCGCCACCGGCTGGAGACTCAGCACCGGTGAGGACCCAGCTGAGCAGGGCCCTACGTGGAAGGAATTACAAGACAGGTGCTGGCATTGAGATTTTTCACTTTTCCTCCCCTCTTCCTCCTCAGGCTGAACCAGCAGCAGCTGTCAGAGCTACGGGCCCAAGTGGAGGACCTTCAGAAGGCCCTGCAGGAACAGGAGTGCAAGACTGAGGATGTGAGTCCTCCCCTCCTCCCTGCCTTATTTCCCCTTGTGCCCCCCACAGTAACCCTCCTCTCTCCCCGCTCTGCTGCTGGATGTCTGCTGTAGTCCATTGTAAGTAGCGTGGGCCCAGGGTGGCACCTACTACCCTCACCCCTGGAAGGGGTTGGGTCCTCTGGATGCACCTCACCTGCCTCTTCTCTCCCCCAGCCCACGCTGTTGAAGAGGAAGCTGGAGGAACATCTGTGAGTCCCAGAGGGGGCACTCGTGGGAGGAAAGGCAGGGGCAAAGGTGTGGGGGGGTTGCATGGGGAGTTATTTAGGAGGAGAGCAGAGTCAGCTGAAACACAGACCAAGGCCTCAGATCAAGGGAAGGAATATGGGCTGTTTTTAGGGAGAAATGGGGAACCACAGAAGGGATTTCAGCAAGATGGTGTGACAAAGTTGTTGCCTATATACATTGTTTAAAAATAAGCTATTTTAGGGGCCTCCCTGGTGGCCTAGGGGTTAAGTCTCACTGCTATCACCACTGAAGCCTGAATTCCATCCCTGGCCAGGGAGATAACCCACATATGGGGTAGCAGACTTCTCCTGTCTCACCCACTGCTCCCCTTAGCAGTATAATTCAGTAGATCCACCTTTTCTGCTCCCAACTCCATCTCTGGTGAATCCAGTTGCCATCCTGCATTTCTGTCCTACACCCTAGATCTTCTACACCAAAAAGTCTCCCCATTAGCAGTTTTACCCCATCCCTGTTAGTTTATTATGGAAATCCTTCCAGTTTTTTTTTTTTTTAAAGATTTATTTATTTATTTATACAAGCACTGGGTACAGTGAGAAGCGCGGGAGGGCGAGAGAATTCACCAGAGTCAGAGAGCAGAGCAGGCAGAATGATGAGGTACACTGCTGAGGGGAGCAGTGGGTGGCAGGAGAGGTCTGTGTGCCATGTGGGACCCTCCTCCAGTGGCCAGGGAGCAGGCGGGGATCAAACCAGCGCTGCAGAGGCTGCTTCGCAACCCAGTGCTCAACCGCTGCGCCTCCAGGGAGGCCCCCTTCCAGTATTTTTTTAAAGATTTATTTATTTATGCATACAAGAGCTGGGGTGCAGGCCAGAGATGCTGTGGGGTGGTGGTGGTGAGAAGATTCACCAGAGACAAAGTGGGGAGCAGAACAGGCAGATCTGCTGAAATGCACTGCTGAGGGGAGCAGTGGGCGAGATAGGAGAGGTCTGCTGCTCCATGTGGGTCACCTCCTTTGCCAGGGATCAAACTCATGCTGCAGTGGCTGAGGATAGCTTCACAGTCTTGGATCTTAACCTCTTGTGCCACCAGGGAGGTCCCCTTCCAGTTTTTAAAGCAAATGTAAATGAATGTATATTTTTATTTTCATTCCTTATTTACAAGAAAGATGACTGGGAAATTTCTCTATATTAATAAATAGAAAGAGTCATTATTTTTTGTAAATATAGTGACCTTTGTCAACTAGGCATTACAAAACATGAATTGGGTGACTGCTTTCTCAGTTCTGCCAAAGTTGGAATGTAGCTAGTACTACAAAGCACAGAGACATTCTTTCCTTACAGAGGATGGATACCTAGAGACATTAAAACTTAATTTTCTGTAGAATTCTGGTCCAAAAGGACTGGCATGTACCATTTTTGTAGAATGAACTAATGTATTAACTCATTCTTTCAAGGTATTTGCAATTTCAAACAAGGCAGAAACATATAACCTGTAAATGCATCATTTTGCTTGACAACAAATCTATCACAAAAAGTAGAGTTAGTGTCTCAAATGGCACATGCCTTTGTAAGTTTAGTAAACATACCAATGATTTGCTATTAGATTTTTCTTGTTTTATTTTATTTCTTTATCTTTATTAAAGTTACATTGGTTTACATCTTTGTTATTAGATGCTATATCGTGTTCCATATCCAATGCACAATTCAAGAGAGGAGGAAGGAGTATTAGCAAATCTTGGGGGCTTTGGGACAGGTGGCAAAACTTTCAGAGTGTGTTTCCTTTTGTTATGAGAGATTTGCATCCTAGACAGATCCTTGGCTGCTAGGTGAAGAATGGAAGTAAGGGATTGAGGGTAGCAGAGGCTGGTGGGGGATGTGTGGCTGGATCAGGGAGAGGACTATGGAATGGGGAGCAATGGACTAATGGGCTGGTCCAGGGACCATCTGCTTAGGGTGTGGGGATTATGGCTCCAATGGCTGAGGAAAGGGCACAGAGCTCCAAAGCCGAGTTTACTGTGCAGGCAGAAAGGTCTATGCAGCCTTTCTGGCTGGCTGGAGAGCTATGGCTGCCACTGGGGGAGGAGAGATGGCCCTAAAGGTCAGTTTGCTGCTGCCTATCCCATGCCCATAGACAGAAGCTGCATGAGGCAGATCTGGAGCTGCAGCGAAAGCGGGAGTACATTGAGGAACTGGAACCACCTGCTGACAGCAGCAGTGAGTAGAGCTGGAAGGTCAGATGGATGGAGGGCCTCCCAGAGCTTGATGTGGAGCTGAGGGCTGCCTTGTTCCCTCAGCAGCCCGACGTATTGAGGAGCTGCAGCATAGCCTGCAGAAGAAGGATGCGGACTTGCGTACCATGGAGGAACGGTACCGCCGTTACGTGGACAAGGCACGCACGGTGAGGATGCTGGGTACCTCCTGTGGAAGGTGCTGCGTCCCCATGCCTCAAGTCTCTTGCCAGTTTGCTTATCTCTGCTCCCCATCCCATCATGTCACAGACTTCTATGCCACTGTCAGGAGTTGTCATAACGTACTCCAACAGGTAAAGGGGCCCAAGAGGCCAAGATCACTCTGGTTGTGTCTTTCCCAAATCCTAGGTCATACAGACCTTGGAACCCAAGCAGCGGCCACCTGGGGGTGCACCACTAGAACTCCACACCCTGAGGACACAGCTGCGGCAAAGGGATGTCCGCATTCGCCATCTGGAGGTGGGTGTCCACGTCCCTTGGTGCTATCCCCAGTGTATCCAGGTTCTTAACTATTGCCTCCCTAACAGATGGACTTTGAGAAGAGCCGAAGTCAGAGGGAACAAGAAGAAAAGCTGCTCATCAGTGCCTGGTATAATATGGTGAGTGTACAGTTACCATGGCTAGAGCACTGGGGTGTCCTAAGGGCTCATTTGACCTGAATCATGCCGTCTCCCTCCAGGGCATGGCTCTGCAGCAGCGAGTAGGAGAAGAGCGGGCACCTACCCATGCCCAGTCATTCCTAGCACAGCAGCGGCTGGCCACCAACACTCGCCGTGGACCCCTAGGACGCTTAGCATCCCTGAATATGCGCCCCCCGGACAAACATTGATGGACCTCAGGATTCTGCCACCTGCCCAGCCAGTCAGGGCTTAATCTACCCTGAATTTCCCCAACTTGTGGCAAAGAGCCCAGAATCATGCTTCAGCCACCTGTTGGGGAGCCTCAAAACTGTGATTGCCATCCTTTGCTCTCCCATATGGGACAGGAGTTCAGGATAGGACAGGTGGCAAATATGGCCCTATTCTTTTTAGCAATGTGATTCTTATCTGTGATTTTTCTCCCTGGGGTTCACAAGCTGCCAGAGGAGAGTAATTTTATATTCGAGAAAATAAATAAATAAATAAATAAGACTTTTAATCTGCCCTGGCTAGCCTCTGGGCACTGAGGTGAGAAAGAGAAGATGACCAGAGATGCAGACCATTGTTTTTAAGAAAGGCCTGACTTCTTACTAAAGTGTGAGTGACTTCTAGCACTCAGTGGGAGGTGAAGATCATGTTTATGTGACTGTGTGTTTGTGTGGTGGATTTTGAAGAATTTCAGATAAAAACCCCTGCCTCATGAAGCTGTCTTTTTTTTTTTTTTTTAGATTTATTTATTTATTTGTAAAGATTTATTTATTTATGCATATAAGAGCTGGGGTATAGGCCAGAGGTGGCGGGGGTGCTGGTGAGAGGATTCACCAAAGACAGAGTGGGGAGCAGAACAGGAGGATTGACTGAAATACATTGCTGAGGGGAGTAGCGGGCTAGACAGGAGAGGTCTGCTGCGCTATGTGGGTCACCTCCCTGGCTGGGGATCGAACTCATGCTGCAGTAGCTGCTCATTGCTTCATAGCGCTGTGCTTAACCCCTTGCACCACCAGGGAGGCCCCTATTTTATTTATTTATGTATACAAAAGCTGGGGTATAGGCCAGAGGTGTAGGGTGGGGTGGGGTTAGAGGAGTCACCAGAGAATCCTCTGGTGAGGAGAAAGAGTGGGGAGCAGAACAGGCGGATCTGCTGAAATATACTGCTGAGGGGAGCAGCGGGCAAGACAGGAGAGGTCTGCTGCGTGATGTAGGTTTGCTTTCTGACTGCGGTTCGAACTCGTGCTGCAGTGGCTGCAGATAGCTTCATAGTGCTGAGACTTAACCACTTGTGCCACCACGGAGGTCCAAAGCTGTCATTTTCATTGAAGGTAGAGACAATACATAAAATAGATAAAGTTTGGTGTAAAAAATACTACAATAAAAAATGAAACAGACAGGGCCTCCCTGGTGGTGCAAGGGGTTAAGTTTCAGCACTATGAAGCTATCCGCAGCCACTGCAGCAGGAGCTTGATGCCCAGCCAGGGAGCTAACCCACATGGCACAGCAGGCCTCTCCTGTCTTGCCCGCTGCTCCCCTCAGCAGTGTCTTCAAGTAGATTCACCAGTTCTGCTCCTCACTCTGTCTCTGGTGAATCCTCTCACCCCTGACCCCTACCCTGCACCTCTGGCCTGCACCCAGCAAATTATGAATAAATAAATTTAAAAAAACTTAAAAAAAAAAAAAGAAACAGACAAAAGTGAAGCTGATGCAGGAGGTGGGTTTGGGTAATGGCAATTTTTAATAAAAGGTCAGGAAAAGAGGCCTCATGAAGAAAGTGACAACTTAGGTAGAGGCCTGAACAAGGTAAGGGAGGGGCCACATAGGTATCTGAAGAAGTGATCCAGGCAGAGGGAACAGCATGTGCAAAGACCCTATGATAACTTACTTGAAGGATTAAAGGTGTAATGAGGAAGCCAGTGCAGATAAAGCAGAGTGATTTGGGGGAAAAGAATGTGAAGAGATGAGGGTAGGGATATTGTTCAGGGCCTACTTTAGCTTTTATTCTGAGTTGGGACTCATGAGGGTTGGGACTCATTAGTAAAGGAGCAACAGGATCTGGTTCAGGTATTCATTGGTCCCTTTGGCTGCTGTGTGAGAAACAGACTAGTGATGAGAAGGGTTTGTTAGGACTGGAATTAGAAGAACAGTGCATAAGGCAGTAGACCAGGTAAGTGGGTGGTGGGTTTCTGGCCAGGGCGGGAACCCTGAAGGAGTAGGAAATGGTTCGAATCTGGATACAATTTGAAGATTGAGCTGATGGGATTTGCTGCTGGGTTGATGAGAATGGGCTGAAAGAAGAGTTGAAAGCAACACCCAGGTTTTGGCGTCTGGAAGGAAAAAGCTGTGAGAAGATTGGGAGCTGATAGGGAGCTAGTATGGAGCTATGTTTAAGAGATCCCTACATGGAAATGTTGAACAGGCAGTTAACTTTCTGTGTCTAGAGTCAGGGGAGGAATTCTGGCTGGACTTCTAATGCAGGAGTCCTCAGCATGTAATTAAATTAAGACCTGGAACACAAAAGTGCTATCTGAGAGTGTAAGTACTTGGGACAGATGATTACTTGCAGATTCATAAAGCAAGGCTGGCAGGAAGAAGCTGCCCTCCTGGGGTGGCAGCTGGCACATTAATGAATGAGTAAAACCCTGGCCACTGAAGGGGACATTTCAGAAAGCAGAGTTTGGAAAGAAGTGGGGGGGATCATCAAATAATTTGGAAGAATTCTCAAGTCTTTGCTTTCCATTAAAAGCACTAATATTTTATTGAGCACCTATTATGTACCAAATACTCTGAGGTCATTTCATCTCATCCTCATAACTCAATGAGTAGGCATTCATCTTCATTTTACCAAAAGAATAAAGGCAAGACGCTAATAGAGGCCTCTCAGGCAGTAGGGGATGAGAAGTTGAGCTGCTGATAAAGAACTTTTCAAAGAAGTTGAAAGAATCCCTGGGCCACAGAGTTGCTCCAAAGCTGTGAAGGCAGTGTGCAGGTAGCAGGAACCAGTCAAAAGCTGGCGAGGTGGAGTCCACATGCAGCTTATGCAGACCTGTGTCTGCGAGGGTATGTCTTGATTTCCTATTCTGGGGGGTTATGTGTTCAGGTTAGACTCTTCTTCCTCACCAATGGGGCTGGGCAGCCAGGGTGGAGCTGGTCCCCGGGGTGCGGGCATAGGCACTGTAGTGAAGGGTTCTGCTGAAGTGGGCCCGAAGTTGAGGACAGGAGCAGGTGGCTCTGGTCCCATGGGTGGATCAGGCTCAGGTTCCCGCAGCCCAGAGTCAAGCAGTGGGTCCCCGCAGCCACATTCTGGGGCTGTGCCATCGAGGGCGCCTGTACAGGCACAACTGGCAGTTGTGGAAGAGTCAGACACGCAGCTGTTCTTGCGGCGCAGCAAGGACAGGCGCCTTCCAAGCAGGCCTCCTGAGGTCACATTTGCGCCCAACGGCAAGAGGCGCTGCAGGAAGTCACCATGTGCTTCACCCAGCCGCATATCCACACTGTCCAACCGTTGAAACTGCATGTCCTCCTTGGCCAGCCTACAGAAAGGACCATGGGTCATTGCTGTGGCCTTGCAACACACCCACCACTTTGTCCTATTTATCATAAAAGACCTTGGCCCCTCAACCATGACCCTGACTTTATCCTCTAGCTCTGGCTACATTCAAGCTTAGGCCTCAAAACCTAAGTTTGCCATGGTTCCTTTGATACTGCCTCTGGCCCATTCAACCCACATAGAATTTAGCCCTTAAGTCTGCCCTCAATTAGTGACTTGTTCCCAGACCTTGGTCACTTGGCCAGACCTCACTTGTCTCGATCCCTTATCCCTTGCCTAACTCCCCAGTTCCAGTCCTCATAGACTTTAGGTCTTTCTTAGCTCTGACGCTACAGAGTTTAGCTCTTATCCCTGTCCTGGTCACTTATATTACCATTCAATCAGATATACCCCATAGTGCTGTAAGCCCTGTTCCCAAAGGCCCTGCTGCCTCACGTGATGTCAAAAGTAGAGCCTTGGAAGGAGGGCTGCTGCATCAGAAAGGCAGTGGCTGCTGTGTAGGGGGCACGAGCCTCAGCTGCATCCCAGTACAGGTCCTTCTCCAGCATGGCAAGGTCATCGTACATCTCATCCACAGCTAGCATTGACACCTGTGAACACGAGGGGTGGGGTGACAAAGTACCGGCACCACGGGGTGTACCCCTCAGGTTGGTAGGAATGTGGTGATCAGCAACAGAGCATGGTTCAGGGGCGAGGTCTGGGCAAGCCCTGGTGGGGATGTCACCAGGGCCTCTTTGGGACCCTTGAGAGGGCCACAACAGAGTGAATCTAACCTGAAAGTTGCGGTCTATCAGAAAGTTGGTCTCAAAGTCGTCGTCGTCCTCTCCGAAGGGGTTGATGAGCTGCTCCGCTACCTAAGTGGGAATGGGGAATTAGGCAGAGCCCTGAGAGCAGCTCTCCTCTGTCTCAGATTCGGAGCCCCACGCACCTTCAGCCAGCCAGCGTAGAAAAAAAACTGAAGCAAGGTGAAGATGGGCACACACAGATCGAGGTTGTGGCCACTGTAGCCTTGCGCTGGGTCCAGGAACTGGCGACCAATGAGGCAGGCCAGGAAGTAGCTGTATACTGCAATGGTCACTACCTGGAGGCAGGGCATATTTCCAGGTCAGGTTTCTCCAGGCCTCAGGGAGTCATGGAGAGACCAGAGTGATGGGGTCTCAGCTGGTCTGTTTTCTTTTTTTTTTATTTTTAAATTTTATTTTTTATTTTATTTTATTTTTATTTAATAATAAATTTTGTTTTTATATTCCCCATACAATTGCAGCCCCCCCCATTCTGACCCCAATCCCTCCCCTCCCACCCCCGCCCCCCTAAAAGTGTCTCTGGTTCGTAGTTTTTTGTTGATTTTGATTTTCACTTTCTTATAGTTATTCGTTTTCCTGGTCCCTATTCGTTTTCCTGGTCCCACAGCTGGTCTGTTTTCCCTTGAGACTAGTGCATGGTCGGGGAGGGCCCTGATGTTTGGTATAAAGGGAGGCAGGACGGAGTTACCTGGGTGTAGACAAGGGGTATGCTGATCCAGTCGTAGTGAAAGAGCATTCCACACTTGCCCCGAAATACAGTCAGCTCCTGGCAGTGGATACAGGTCATGAGCTGTGAGCATGTTTTTCTGAACCCTCCAGGAAAAGCACTTAGTGAGTATACAGCTGGGGTAGCTACTACCCTTGAGGGTGTTAGATTTGGGCCTCAGAGATAAAAGTGCACCTGGAGACTGCTAGATAAGGGTGTTTGGAATCTGTTTCCTGGGAGGTGTGTGGAGGTCTAACACAACTCCAGATGGGGTACAATTTCCTTGGTATTTTATAGGAATGACCTCCTGGCGGGCCCACCTCCAGTAGTAGCTTAAGGGCACTGTTGTCTCGGATGCGACCCTCACGCCGGGCCTGCGCAGCCAGGTTGGAGAACCAGACACAAGGCACCCAATACTTGTTGTAGGATGAATTCAGGTTTTCGAACTTCTTGCGCTCCTCACGGGTCATAAACCCTGGAAGGGCGAGGTCAGGAGTTATTCGCCCTGTCCTCCATCCTGGCCCCACCCCACTCCGCTTCTGGTGGGAAACTCACCAGCTTCCACCACGTGGTCTATTGTGGGGAAGCGCTTGAAGACTGCTGTGCTGACAGAGCGCAGAATGAGCACGGCAGAGAGTCCTGCGTA